CAGAATGAAAAAAGAAATAATTCACTTACAACAACAGCTGGAACTACATTAATTTTCAGACAGACAAAAGAAAAAAACAGTGGCCAAAATTGCAGTCTAAATGCACCAGAATGCAGAGTTAACACTTATTTTTCTAATATTTGTAAGGAAGCATTTATTTTACTCTTAAGCTGTACTGCCCAGCTCTACTTGTTATGGGATCACAAAAAGTAACTGTGTTCACTTATTATCACATTCACATCTTCCTCTCATCAGCCACCTAAAACTATCTCATTCTTCACTGTAGCACCTCAGCTGGTCTGGTTCTCCCTGCCTCACCCTCAGCAGGTCTGGTTCTCCCTGTCTCACCCTCAGCAGGTCTGGTTCTCCCTGTCTCACCCTCAGCTGGTCTGGCTCTCCCTGTCTCACCCTCAGCTGGTCTGGATCTCCCTGTCTCACCCTCAGCTGGTCTGGATCTCACTGTCTCACCCTCAGCTGGTCTGGATCTCCCTGTCTCACCCTCAGCAGGTCTGGTTCTCCCTGTCTCACCCTCAGCAGGTCTGGTTCTCCCTGTCTCACCCTCAGCAGGTCTGGTTCTCCCTGTCTCACCCTCAGCTGGTCTGGCTCTCCCTGTCTCACCCTCAGCTGGTCTGGATCTCCCTGTCTCACCCTCAGCTGGTCTGGATCTCACTGTCTCACCCTCAGCAGGTCTGGTTCTCCCTGTCTCACCCTCAGCAGGTCTGGTTCTCCATGTCTCACCCTCAGCAGGTCTGGCTCTCCCTGTCTCACCCTCAGCTGGTCTGGCTCTCCCTGCCTCACCCTCAACTGGTCCCTGCTGAACTTCATCTGATCTCTAATATAAAAACAGTGGACAGGAATAAGGAGTAAAAAATACTGTTGGACGACTAGTGCAATATTAAAATCATGGTTGTTATGGTATTATTTAGTCTGTTCACTTGTTATCATGCTCTAAACTTCCTCTCATCATCAACCATCTAAAATCTCACTCCACTGCAGCACCTACCTGCACTTTAGCAGGTCTGGTGCTCCCTGTCTCACCCTCAGCAGGTCTGGTGCTCCTTGTCTCACCCTCAGCAGGTCTGGTGCTCCCTGTCTCACCCTCAGCAGGTCTGGTGCTCCTTGTCTCACCCTCAGCAGGTCTGGTGCTCCCTGTCTCACCCTCAGCAGGTCTGGCGCTGCCTGTCTCACCTTCATCATTTTCCTGCTGAACTTCCTCTGGTCTCTTATATGAAAAAAGTGACATGAATAAGGTTTCAAAAATGTGATGAGAATGTCACAAACAAGCAACAATCACATTTACAAATTCCATTTTTATGTGGAGATTCTACTTTATTTATTTCGTGTGAAATGGTTTTTGTCTGTTACTGTCAAATTCGCCATGTTTTGTTGACTAGTAGTGTTGTTTAATGTTTAATGCTAACTAGCAAGATGTTTACATTAGTCAGCCAGTCTAACGTTTGACCAGAAATACAATTATCTTCTTGGACTAAATTATTACCAACTCACATTTCCTTTCTTTCTTTCTTTTTTGCCCATGAGAAGAACTCGCTGAGCTGCTGCATCCTGGCTCTGACTCCCGCTTCACTCAGCCAGCCTGTCTGACTCCCTGAGGGGAGGGGCTGTGTCGGTGAGAAGTCTGCGGTGTCTTTCAAAATAAAAGCTTACGAGTCAAATATTTCAAAATCAATATTTTTCTTCTCCATGTTATTGGGGGGGACAAATGCGCATTTGTCCAATATTGAAGGGGACACGTCCCACCCGTGTGTCCCCCCGGTTCCCACGCCCTTGTCAGTCCCACTGAGTTTTTCATGCAGGCTGAACATTAAAATAGTCTTCTATACCTATCTCCTGCATTAGATTCTGAAAGAAAATAGACGGACAAACGCTCAGTTCAGAAAAGCCTGACAGATCTACATCACACTGTCACTTAACATTCATAGACTCACCCATCTTGGCTTGCGATGGGGAAGGCTGTTGTTAGTTTAGCATCCAGGAAACAGCAGAGAGCATCTTGACTAGTAGATGCTAACCTTTAACATTGGCCACACATCCACATCAACTTTGCAAAGCTGAGTCTGCTAAAGTCACGTTGCTGTTAGCCAATCCGAGGCGAGATGTCCAAATATCAGTAAATAAGATTCCAAATTCTGTCGTCTGAAGCTACTTTCTCCTCCAAATGAATTCTATGTCCTCAAACAGGAATGCATGAGCTGTTTCCCCCAGAGACCTATTTGCAAGGCATTCATTCCTACTAGAGACCTCAGCAAATGTATTAAAGCATGAGTACATTTGAAGTGGAATGTGACAAATACTGTTCAGAAAGGTTCACATTGTTCTTTGGACGGTTTCTTGTTAGCACAAGTGAGACAGGCCTTTGAGTTTAAAGTCAGCAAAAGGTTGACAAAAAAGAAAAATCTAACTAAATCTGGAAGGAGTCAAACATTTTTACAGCACTGAAAATTAGCATTGTTGACTTACTTTAGTTGACATTAAAGGTAGAATGTGTAAGAATTTTATAGTGAAATAACCAAAAATCAGTCTAATGTCTCAATCATGTTGGAAGGAAGATTACATTGAAATAGATTTCCTCTCGGCCAGCTGGGGGGTTGTCAGTTTTTCTCCTTTCAAAAAGGCCAAAGAGGAACGTAGCCACTGTTTACAATCTATGAGCCCACAGAGTTGTCGAGTCAGCACCAGTTGGCAGTGCTGGTATTTGTAATTCAACATCAGCCCACAAAATGCAGCAGGGTTTTGGAAAGATATTATACCAGTAATGAGAGTGACCCAGAAGTTATTTCTTGTAGAAAGATATTAAACCAATAATGAGAGTGACCCAGAAGTTATTTCTTGTAGAAAGATATTAAACCAGTAATGAGAGTGACCCAGAAGTTATTTCTTGTAGCTCTAAGAAGCCCCGACATCTTTTTATTTTACTCTAATATCAGGTAAAGAAGGCTAGAGGCTAACGTTGAGCCAACAATGCTGATGGTGAACTACAAGCAAATAATCAGCTCTGAGAATCTTAATCTACTTTTTTTAATTACCAACAACTGAATGTGAAAATTATTTATCTAATTACCAACTTACTGTGCATGATTTGTCTGCACTCATCATCTAGAATCTTCTGGCGCTGAGCCGTAAATGGCAACAGCCACGAATCTCATAAACAAGAGCGAGTAGAGTCTCTCTTTTATTAAAAACAAGGACTGCAGTACCAAAGTTTGACCATAGAGTGTCATTCTTGCATCATGCACCTTTAAAAGTATGTTAAATAGACAAATAAAACAAATGTTAAACATCCTGTAGTAAATTATAGGCGACATTCACAACTGTGATATGAAGACTCCCACAGTTTATAAATCACCAATGTCACCGAGCAGATTACCTCTCTACTGATTATGTGTTTTCATCTTTTCATTGAGGAATCTAAAAACAACTGCACACGTGAGCTCTGAATGAACCTTTGTAAAACTTTTGATATTTACATGCTGTCCACTTTTGTGACCTTTGATTTGAGGATGCATGATTGTGATGGTGCACTGATGAACTGAAGGGTTTTTACCATCTCTTATACACCTGCCTGTTTAAAGTTTAAATGCAGTATAAAGTGACATCAAATATCGATCCCTGGACAGCTAAATAAATAAATCCTATGACTGTGATACATGTATTTGGGTAAAAACATGGCAGCAAAGCTAACTTTTACATGAACCATGTTGTGAAGCTGGTGGACAATTTTTATCAAGTGAAAAATATGTGAATGGAGAGGAGGAGTGAGTTAGACGGAAACAAAATGGGTGAGATTCCTGTGGAAAAGGAGGACGCTATAGCTATTCCTGTCCAGGAGAGGTCCAGGATACAAGTGTGTGATTGTAGATCTTGGACAGGGTGGAGAGCTGTGTGGTGCAGGTGGTTGAGTCCAGCCAGCCAGAGCAGAGCCACAGACCTACAGAACTAGCTTCTTCACAGCCTGTTTACCATGAGCATCCCTCTGGCAGGAGCACCACTTTCACATGTGGACACAGTAACTGCTCTTATTTAGAAATAAATAAAGAGCTCGGAGATAAAGGGACAAGAGAGCTAAATAATTTAGTGCTAATAAGAAATGGTTCAAAATATTACACATTTTTGCCTGCATAACATTTCACAATGTAGACAATTAATTTATAGAATTATTTTGGAATTTTTGATTACAAGGAATTTATTATATAGGTTGTCAGTTGAGAAGTGTCAGCAGAAGGTTTCCAGTGAACAAATGCACATCTGTCTGCACATTTTCCTGTTGCCTACTTCACAAAGAATCAGGAAAGACTGTGATTTTAAAAACTCTTTGCATAAACCAGATCAGCACTGTGAACACCCATGGTAAAGTGTGACCGACGAAAGGAGAGATCTCCTTTACTTGACCCCCTCTAACCTTCACCACATTCCTTCTGTGCCCTCTTTTGAAGCCCCCTCAGACATGACAGATGACTGTCCATCTGTCCATCTTTGAACTCGCTGGACACACTGTACCCATTCACAGCTGCATATGCATGTGCCTATTGTCTTTACAGAATGTGGGTGTGAGTGGACAGAAGGAGAAAGTGACCCCTGCTCTCATCGAGATCAAAGCTTTTTTACTGTCCTTTGCCAGTGCCATCGATTAAACCCAGGAAGTGGATCTGGCTGAGATACTGCGACGGGGATGCCAGAAAAAAGACTCAACCAAGACAAAATAGATGCCAAGCGTCCATGTTGATAAAACACAACACACCCAACGTTACTGTTGCTCTGGATGGGAAGAGTGTCTGGCAGAGCCAGAGACATGATGTCAGTATCGTTCTGTGAGCCTCACAAAAGAAACCTCTTCATTTATGCGTTTATACGTGTTAAGTATGTTAAGTCTTTTATAACTTTGAACTCCTGTTCTGTGCTTCACCTGTACATTATTCACAACTAACAAGCACAACATTAGTCTTACACACACACACACGCGGTTTGCTTCGTCCCAGTCTTACCGTCAGAGCGGTGGATGCAGGTATGCTGATTGTCACTCAGGAAAAAGCCGACTTTACATTTGCACTCGTAGCTTCCCATTGTGTTGACACACACTTGCTGACATCCACCATTGTTGTCCAAACACTCGTCCACATCTGTTTAGACAAAGACAGAGCACACACTCGATATTTCAATAAATCTGTTGTGATCTTTAGTATAACAGAATGTTTTGAGAGGTATTTTCTGTGCTAAAAAAATAAATAAATAAAAACCTTGTCTCAGGAATTAGTAGTTAGTTGGAGGAGTGGGGCAAAGCCAACAGCAGGATTTGGAGTTTTGCTCATTAATATTGATGATATGCAAACATCTAACCTCTGATTGGCTAACAGCAATGTAACTCTTCCACTGCCTCTGATCGCTCTTCTTTCTTGGGTAAGTATTGCAACACTGATGCTTAATTTCTACAAATGCTATAAGCCTGAAGGAGTTTTGCCATGTTGTGGAGTTGCTAATGATAAGGGTTAGCTTCTAACAGCAAGACATGCTCTGCCCTCTTCTGGATGCCATATAAATAACTACGGTGCGGTATGGAGGCCAAAATTAAGACTACTGCCCAGCAGCAAGATGCTATATAAAGTCCAAAGCAAACTACCGATCTGATTAATGATAAGCTGGGGCCGGTAACTGAGAGGCTGGCGCTGCTTACTGAGAAATAGCACCTTTACCAGCGTTACTACTACAGTGTTATTTTTTTGTACATATTATATAGTTTTAATAAAAATAACATCACAATTTTATTAATTATTAACTTGTAATTCAATACAAAGGATTTAAAAACCAACGATGAAAAGTACAAACTAGTTAGTTCAGGCTTTTTCTCTGATATGTGCAAGAAAACCAAACTATTTAAAAAGAAAACACCATCAACCTGTAATTAAGAGCAGAATGTAGTTAACGTGGCACCCAATCAATGCTAACAGGCTGTCAGCTTTACAATATGCTTAAAGTTAATGTGTATAACAACGCGTTCTGTCAAAGGAACAACTGTGATTACAGGTCTCATAGTATGTCATCGGTTTAATAAAAGTAAAAACAAAAAAAAAACCACATCTAATAGAGTAAGTGACTCTCCGAGACATGCTAATGGCTAGCCTCTCCGATGCTAATGTCAGCCTATCCATGCTAAAGGTCCGTCGAAGGGGTAGGAAATCCAGCTAGTGGCCAGCCTAGGCACGATAATGGCTAGCCTCTCCAACGCTAACACCAGTCCGTCCAGGCTAATGCTAGCCTATCCATGCTAATGGACAGCAGAGGGAGTGTGTGATCCAGTCAATGACCAGCCGAGGGCTGCTAGTCCCTAGCGTATCTAGTAGTAATGCCGGTAAAGGTGCCATTTCTCAGTAAGCAGTGCCAGCCTCTCAGTTACCGGCGCCAGCTAATCATTAATCAGATCGGTAGTTTGCTTCGGAATTTATATAGCCTCCTGCTGCTGGGCCCCCATACCGCGCCGTAAATAACAGCCTACTGCGAACACAAGTCAAGATGGATGAATCCATGAATGCTAATTTTCAGTGTGCCGTAGATCTGGTTGGTTTGTTTGACCCAAGTATGTATCTGTCTATTTACTTTCTGTGGCTAATGCACAAAAAAAGAGGTAAAAGACTATTTTCATGTTTACCCTGCTTGTGAAAATCAGAGCAACCAATCGTATTTCAAAAGGAGAAAAGGTATACATCTCTCGGTGAACCTCTGCTTTAAAAGTGTAAATTTAAATGAGCCCTTAGTTGCTGCATAGTGGAACACTATCATCTCAGGGTTTTATGTCATGTGATGATTTAATGCAAAGATTTGATCAGGGAGTAAAAGAGGAATGTTCAAGCAAAGGCTACACAAAGAATATAATAAAAGGCCTGTGTTTGTGTTGTGCCTTGTTAGGGTTCTACAACCCCCCAAGGCGCTTCACAACACAATCAGTCATCCACCCATTCACACGCTGGTGGGGATGAGCTACAATGTAGCCACAGGTGCCCTGGGGCGCACTGACAGAGGAAGGGCCACTGGTCTCTCCAACCTCCACCAGCAGGCAAGGCAGGTTTAGTGTCTTGCCCAAGGACACAACAGCAGCATTCTCTGGTCAGATTCGCGAACCTGCAATCTTCCGATTACTGGACAACCCGCTCTACCTCTTGAGTTACTGCTGCCCAATATACTTGCAGCTTCACGTCAATTTTTCGAAATTGGCTGCTAGCCCAGAAGGAAGTCATCTGCTGGATTTAACAAAGCTGATTAGTATATTCCAAGTTTAGAATGCCACGATTCATCAGGCTCAAAATGGTTCAAGGACTCAGGAGTTTGGGTCTAGAGCCTAAGTGAGTTCAACTAAACAGAGTCGGTATAACACCTTTACCTAAAGCAGTGGGGGCTAACAATGGTCCTTGAGGGCTACCATCCTGCTTGTTTTAGAGGATTCTATACTCCCAGCACATCTGATTTTAATCAATGGTGATTGACAGACTTCTGCAGAGCTTTATGAGCTGCTGAACAGGTAATTAAACTATTGAATCATGTGTGTTTGAGCAGAAAACAACTACAACATGTTGAACACCACTGACCTAAAGAAACTGTATGCTGCTGTCACCTGCCACTCATTGTTCAATGCATCCAAATTGGATTGCTTTCACTGTTGGTAGAAAATCATAACTGCTACTTTGAAGCAAAAAATGGATCTAAATCTTACCATTTAAAGGTGTGGTTCACTCCTTAAATCAGCACATTTGCAGTGGTCTAATAGAAATGAACACCTTGTAAGTTGTACTCTGAGTGCACCTGTTTCAGGATCTAGAAGATTGAATTTGGAGTCTTACTTTGTGATGTTTGAACATCTCACCTCTGATTGGCCAACAGAAACACAACTATACCACTGACTGTTTTCTTTGCAACATTGATGTTTTATCTCCACAAATAACACAAGCCTGGAGACGTTTTGCCGAGTGGCGGGGTTGCTAATGCTAACAGTTAGCTTCTACTGGGCCAAGACCCTCTCTGTTGTTTCCTGGAAACTTAACAACCAACAACAGCTTTCCCCATCACGAGGAGATGGGTGAGGCCATGAAGGTTAAGTGCAGTGTGACGTTATGCTGTCAGGCTTTTGAGATCCTAGGGTTTCACCATCTATTTTCAATGAGAAGCTAAAGCAGGAGATAGTCTCCTACACCTATTTTGATGTTCAGCCTGCATGAAAAACTCAGTGACAGATTATAATCATAAATAATCATTACAAAATGGTTTTTCAGTGAACCACACCTTTAACTTAAAAGCTATGAATCATTATGATAATGTGGAATACTCCAGTGGAAAATATTCCAGCTGATAACGTCTCTCTCTGCTAGTACACATGTTGTCAGTAGAATGTATTTGGTCCCTCGTTCTCCCTCCCCTTTTCCTCCCTGACTGTCCTATTCCACACCTCCTGTCTGTAACACGCTGTACTGTGCACGTTGTGCTCGGTGACTCCCCTAGTCTGCAGCCACCTCCGAGATCTCCCCGTGAAATGGAAAAGACATGTCGGGGGAAAAGGAAAATAAACTCACACAAACGCACCAGACATTCATGGAAGCAACCAAACCATCCCTACATTGAGAGCAGCTGTGTCCACGCCAAAAGCAAATAAATAAAGTTCAAATCAAAAGGAAGAAAAGGAACCAAACGGAGCCGCTCTTTAATTAGAGCACAATTAAGTAATCTTAAATCAATTAGTGCCCTCTCTTGTTGACACAGTGCATCTGTGAGAAGATGAAGTGACTTCCTGCATGCTTACGCAAACCGATGTCTGCAATTTTCCAAAGCTTGGTTTGTCATCCAAGGCTCATTTGGAGAACTACAAGGTACTGAGGGTTCTCAATGCCATGCTTTGGATCCATTAAAAACCGCATGACATTTACAGGGTTTTTCTTGTTTTGCAAGCAGGTCTATTTAACCAACCCTCATCTTTCCACCAAGCTTTAGTCTTTACTCTCTGGGCTTGTAATGCAGAACCTGGACCCAAAACAAAAGATTTCATTAGGTTTAAGTTTGATTGCTGAACATCAGTCCCAGCTCCAAACATTAAGTCAGGAATGGAAGGGAGATTATTTTAATTTCCACCACCTTTGTAGTTAACACAGCTGACATGCATAAAGCTTATGTCTTCTGTCTGTGGAAGCCTTATTTACTGGTTTTGAAGCCCATTAACTGGTTTGATGGTGAAATGGCCTGTATTTGATATAGCGCCTTCTAGAGTCCTGGTGCCCCCATAGGCGCTTTACAACACAATCAGTCATTCACCCATTCACACACACATTCACACACTGGTGGGGATGAGCTACAATGTAGCCACAGCTGCCCTGGGGCGCACTGACAGAGGCGAGGCTGCCGAGCACTGGCGCCACCGGCCCCTCAGACCACCACCAGCAGGCAACGTGGGTTAAGTGTCTTGCCCAAGGACACAATGACAGCGACAGACTGAGCAGGGCTTGAACCTGCAACCTTCCGATTACGGGGCGAGCACTTAACTCCTGTGCCATTGTCACCCCACAATGATGTGAAAACAGAAGCAAAGGAGTGTGTGAACGTGTGTTTTGCTGCCCTCTTCATGGTACATCTGCTGAATGAGTCACTTGTGAATGAGATAATAAAGCAACATTCTGGTTTGCGTTGATAGGCAGTGTCAAAACACAAATTCATCTTAAAACGTAGACATGTCAGCCCTTCAGAGTTCTGTTTATATACAAACAATGTTATCAAAGGCTGCTATTTACCTCCATAGTTAGTGATGAGAATACATACACAGGATCAAAGTGGCTGATGACAGCACAGTCTCCATGAGTCAACAAGCAGGTATGCAATTGGCCGTCATCTAAGGTGGACTAAAAATAGACCAGTTCCATACAACACGCCTCATACCTGAAATAAAACCCGAACTCCGCTAGAAATAGCTATTCCTGCTTGGTTAATGGGACTGTAAAATCTGATTGTGCTGTATTTGTAGCAACAGTCTTCAAGCTGGAATCAAATGTCCTCCACCTCCGCAGCCCTAGTCACTAAAAAGAGGCTTTCTGTTGTGGATTTCACAGGCTTAAGATAAGCTTAATAAACACCAGCAAAGAAACAATGCTAA